GAGAAAGGTCTGAATCCCAATCACAGTCTAATGTATAGATATGAAGGAAGGACTTAATAATAATAATGACAACAACAACAATAAAGAAGTAACAAAATTGAGAGCAAACAAATAATTAGAGGCTTACCAAAATAAAAAGGAAGAAATCTTCCAATTTTAGAATTGGACCAATAATATGATTCTGCATTTGTTTTTCTTCCTATTTGGGCTATCAGAGTTCTAACTAAGTGGTTAATTTTTTTAAAATTTTTATTTAAATAACTCAACTATGTCACTGGATTTTTCAAATTTATTTGTTTTATTTTATTTTGGCTATCTAATGAATTAGGGTTATTGTTGAAATGCTTTTATTTATTTCTATTTTGGCTCCCTAATTCCTAAAAGGTTATGTTGCGTGAGAGAGATCTCAAAGGGCAAAATGAACAGAAAGTGAATGAATATATAAATACATATAAATAATATTTTTGGTTGGTGACAACCAATCAACCATCTGTTGCAATAATACTACCAAATAATTATACAGATTTGAATATTTTTATGCTTCACATGGAAACATGTAACTACCGGGTCTACAACGTTATTGTCATCATTGAGCTAATATATATATAATATATATATATATATATCACATACATTGGGATATTCTTTAATTTCCTCGCCTAAGGTTTGTTCTTGAAAAACACATGTCCATCTTCATCTTTTATTTTCTTAATTAGAAAATATAGTTATGTAATATAGCCATGTGTGTTTTAGTATAATAATGTTCTTAGGGTAAAGTTTAAATTTGCTGTGGTTATTACCGAACTTTGTTGTAATGAGGGTCGAGTGTAGAACGGAAGATTTAAGCATCAACGAATCTGGATTCAATTGTACATAATATTTATACATATAAATTAAACTAAAATTATGCAAATAATTTCTACATATCATCATCATCATCATCTCCACATACACACTTCTCTATGATGTGCGATTAAACTCCACCTACTGTGAGGGTCGGGCCCAACCGTGGGGGAACAGCTTTCACCACAGTTTAATTTAACAGAAATATATGTACTCCATCTAATTCACAGCATAAATCACTTTAATTAATTTATCAATATGAAAAAACCGTAGTTAACTCATTAAGTATGTCCTAAATTGAAATGTTTTCCAACTTTATCCATAATGAATGAGGTTGTTAAAAAAGAGAAAAATATAATGGGTAAATTTAACTGATTAAGTATGTCCTAAATTGAAATGTTTTCCAACTTTGTCTATAATAAGTGAGGTTGTAGAAAAGAAAAATAAAAATATAATCGGTACATTTAAATATTAATTATGGAAACAAAAATAAGGATTAATTACTCTCCAAATGATTTATATTTTTGTATCAAGTTATTTTTCTAAAAGTGACTTATATCAGGAAGGAGCAGATGTATAGTCAATGTCATTAATTTCAAAACTCTATATCAAGAAGATTGAACTATAAACAATAATTATGCCTTTTCTTTTCTTTTGTGGCTTTTTTTTTTTTTTAAAAAACGATTGTATGGGTCTCACTCAAGTGATAAAAGATTACGTGGCCCCCCAAACCCCCCCCCCCCAAAAAAAAAAGAGAGAGGTGAGATTAGAATAGAGGTCAAGGATTATTTAATCCCCCCTTCATGTATAGGAAAAAAGTTAACTAAAAACGCATTCCCCTCATATATTTCAGCGCGAAAAGAAAATTAAATCATCCCTTCTTTACTATTTTAATTGATTTATTTAATTTATTATTTAAAAATTACGATTCAAAATTATATCTTGTTAGATTTAAATTTTTCTATAAATGTTTCAATAATTTTCAAATTTATATTAGTATTATACCTATATTTAAATTAAAATTTTTTAAGATATCAAACAGAATTTGGTTTCTTTACAAAAGTAAAAAATTTCTTCCACTTCATTTTCTCAAATAAAACATGTATTATAAATAATTTGACTATTTTACATAAAATTTAAATTATAATGGACAATGTGAAGATGAGTTGCATTACTTACATAGAAACTGTGAAAATCATGGTGAAAAATATAATTTTATTTATTATATGAGTCACCACTCACCACAAAAAGTTGTGATTATATATAAATGTAATTGTTCTACATGGAAATAGTTTAATTAGATCAAACAAAAAGTGATCATTAGTGACAAATATCTTGGGATTGCTACGAGAATTTTAAACTTCTTCCCTTGCTTGTTGATAAACTAAAATAATACTTGGTGCTAAAACTTTTAATGGTGGCCTCGAAAGTTACTTTTTATTAGATATATTATTTTAATAATTATATTGATTAACGACACAAAAATAATATATAAAGGATATGATTACGCTTCACTAATTATTGAGTTATTATTAAAATTCATATGATCATTAATTAGTTGAAGGTGGAAAACAAGAAAGTAGGAAGAAACAATTCATTTGGAATCTCTTCTAGTACCATAATATTGCCAGTGTTGCCCAGATCACAAGCTACAATCATCAATATCAATTATTGTTTTGGTTTTTTTGGACGCATATATTAATAACAATATTTAATACTCTCTCACGTCTTATTTATAAACTTTAAATTTATGAAGGAGTTTGATTCATTTTATAAGTTCTAATTTAGGTTTATCTAAACATTTAATGTATTTTTTTTCAACTTTGCTCTTAATTATTTATTCTGTCTCTTTGTCATAATCTCTCTTATCACATTTTTTCACATATCTCTTTCATTCTTTTTTTTATTTATTATAAGGCATTTTAAAATAAAAATATATTTCTAACTTATTAATTGTTTTTAATTAATTATTCATTATTCGTGAATTAGTTATTTAAAACTTCTAATAAGAACTGGATGAGGTATAAAATAAAAAGGAAAAACATTTTGCAGGTATTTATAGTTTTTCTTAATTTTTAATTTGGTACTTGTGTATTTTTCTCTCCTAAATAAACACTATAATTTTGCTCTTTTAGTATAATTAGCTTTTGAACATAGGCTAACAATACTAATAGAGCAAAGTTACCAATAACGGTATTAACAGAGTAAAATTAGAGTGTTTTAATTAACAAGAAAAAATGTAGAGGTACCAAATTAAAAAATTAAAGAAACTATACGTACTTGCAAAATGGTTTTTCCAAATAATAAGACTACAATAACACCATTCCTGTTATAATATCAATTGCTATTATTAGCTTAATGTCATTTCACATTAAGCATGGTGATTAACTTGATTATAAATTTTATATTAAACTACTGAGTGAAAAAAACTAAGAAAAATATTTAATATCACTAAAATATATTGGCAGTTGAACTGTTGACAAGTTATGAACAATATAATTTTTTTTAATTTCATGTCAATTTTTATATTCTTTCGGTAATTTTTCATATACATCGTTGAGTTTTAATGTGTATCACTTTGTTTTGATTAAATTAAATTTTTATTGAAAATTCTCCAATATTTCTATAAAATTTAGACGTTAAAAAGATGAGCACAATTTGGCCACACATTTATGTACTAGCAGCGAAAAAGAAATAGCTATAAGTCGTGGAAGAAGCTATATTTATTGAATGAAAATCTCACAATGAAATTAAGAACATAAATTAAATTAGACAGCTGATAAATAAGAATAATTAATCAAAGCTAATCTGGCCATCACGCACACATATGGAAATTAGGTTGCGTACCTGGTTTCCACAGTATGATAGAGATCTCATCAGGGTCCGAAGAACTTGAACCCTCTTCCTCAGTTCCTTCAACAGACACACACACTCACAATTCCTCTATGCACAAACTCACTCACAACCATAGAAATAATCCTTCAATCTTCTACTTTTGCCCCCTGACCCAACTCCCCCTTCTCTCTTCCTGCGTTCACACAGAGAGAGGGGGGGGGGGAGTATATAATTGCAAAGAAAATGAAGATGGCGGACAGGACAAGTAATTAAATTAATCAATAAATATATATACTATATGTATTATAGATTAAAAAAAACATGTAGTTATTGTCTTATATATCTTTACTGGTTTATGTAAAACTTCAATAAATGGCATTCATCTAAAGCTTTTTCTCTCTTTTAGAGGTTGTCATTTAGTGAAAACTACTTTCTCTAAAGATTCATATGTCCACCACCAAAGAGTAGTGATAAGCCAGCTAACTAGCTGTAAACATACATGAATGATATCCTCCGTCCTATTATAAGACCCAATTTGACTTTTTATTTGGTCCTAATTATAGGACCCAATCCATTTTGTCTCTTATATTATGCATTTTTTTCAAGATAATCCTTCTAATAATGATAGTTTAGCCAAATACTTAATTAGCAAGGATATTTTAGGAATGACAACACTTATTATTATAAATAACCAACTTAACTTACTTCCTTAATCTCCTCAAATAGTCAATTGGGTCTTATAATTAGGACGGAGGAGTAATATATTTTATATTTTATATATATATATAGTTCTACTGTTATAATAGCTTTTCTTGGCGAGTTCAAAAGTTGTGGTGTTGTGGACTACGTAAGAATTCCATTATATATATCTAGAAGGCCCCACGTCGCATAGTTAGGAGTATTCTTGCCTCAAGTTATTTGAGGTGAATAAGTAATGGAAAGAAATTAAAGAGGGGGAAGAAAAAGTATATATGTATATATTATGAGATCCACACAATAAAAGTAAATCTCATTTCTTTTTAAATTATGTGTCTTTCTCTTTGTTTGATTTACGTAAAGTTCATTTCAAAAGATCATCCATGATGATATTATAATGAAACTTTCTTGTGGTGCAATCTGACCTAATTTTTGTGGTTTCAACGTGTGAGCTCACTTCTTTAGCTATATATATATATATATATATATATATATATATATCTATTTGCCACTCGTTTAATATCTATCTAACAATTCTACGTCGACGTCAATATTTGTGTCTTGCAAAAACCTACGTGTTCTTAATATTTCTATATATATGTTACAATTATTTTTTTTTGAGCAAAATATGTTACAATTATTAACACGGTCATTTTTATAAGTTATAGTACTTTATAAGTATTTAAATATTATTGGTTAAATTCATTGCTTTAGCTATCCTATGTATTGGCTTGTTCCCTCTTTTCTTCTGATCTCTCTCCATAATAAATAATAACATTTTTATACGTTTTTTTTTTAAAATTATGTCCCGGCTTGATTATTGCCATAGGGGTGACCGGAGATCAATATATTATAAATTAATTAACCCAAATGCTGAATCACTATTCAAAGCGTGCGCATACATTCACGCACCACCTCCCATCCTAAATAGAAAAATTAGTTAGAGATTTAATTTAATTATAAATATAAAACATCAATTCACTTTTTTTTCTTCATTTTTTTGCCAAAATAGTCATATGATGATTATATATGTTAAATAGTTTTTATTTTACTCCTTCAGTCTGTTTTTGTAAGAAACAATTTCATTCATAGTGATGTCTCTAATATATAAGAAACAAATTCTCTTTGTATGAAATTTTAAATTAATGTTTCACTTTTACCTCCATTAAATATATGCCCCCCTATTCTCTCTACAATAAATTTTCATTTATTATTTCTCATATGCTCTCTTTACAAACGGGGTATAATTAGAAAAATATGTATATATATATCTTATACATCTATCATTTTCAACTAAATTTAATTAACATTTTCAACTGTGTGATTTTTTTTTTATAGTTTTTCTTAAATAAGAGATAAAAGAAGTAATGCACATTATTAACAAAGATATTTTTAGAAAAAACAACACATTTATTATAAATAATTAGCTTAACTAATTTATTTAATATTTGTAAATTAGTTATTTAATTCTTATGTTAAGGAGAGGATATAACATATAATAAAAAATAAAAATAGATAATATATCTTGAGGATATGGTTGATTATTCTTGGAAAAAGATTAGCTTCATTTTGTACATATCAGCACATATCATTAATATTATTATTAGTTTATAAACAAGAGACTACCTATTTGTCGAACCATTAACACTCCTCACAATCATTAGTGTGCTTTTGATAAAATTATTTGATCCAGATATATATATATATATATATATATATATAATTGATCATCACAAATTAGTTTATAAAAAAATATTAAATCAAACGAAAAATAAAATTTACACACGAAAAAAAGATAGGAGTGGAAGAAACAGAATCGAAGATGTTTCTTTGATTATATAAAAAGAAGAGGAGACGCGTTCAACTGTACTTCAAATTGCCGTTACCATTGTTTTGTTTTGTTTTGTTTGCCAACATGTTGCCATTATCATCTGACATGTCTTTTCTTATGAAAAGCCAGAAAAAAAATAATATCTGATCGCGAAATTATATATAAAATGCATTTATAAAGTACATTACATAATATCCACCAAATTAAAAGCCTACTGTCAACTTTCGCGTGGCAGGCACGAGCTTGCTTGCTTTTGCCTTTATTAAAATATTCCATAATTGATGTGGATTTTTCATTAACGCACGCAAAGTCTGTTTTTTTTTTTTTAGAAAAGCAGTTTATATATGTGTGTGTGTGTGTTATGAGTTTAGAAAGGACAAGTAATGTGATACATTGAAATATTTTTTAACGGCAAGTAATGTGATGTTACATTTGTAGTGTGTGTTTGGAAGGGCCATTGGATCTAAAATAAGTAACTTTTGGAGGGTTATGCACGTTTGGGCCAAGATGGTTGTGTTTGCAAAGCTTTTGACTCATATCACTCAAGGGCCAAAAGTTGGTTTGAACACCAACAAGAGTTGGTCCAGTTAGTAAAGAGTCGACTCATAACCTACAAGGTCGTGAGTTCGAATCCCGCTGCCGATATGAGGACCTTGTTGGTGGGCGATCTGTAAGTACCTCTGTAGCGCTCTTTGAGCCTGAAGGCATGTCCTGGCCCTGGTGAGCCCCGGGACCCAACTCACCTAACTTTAGTATACTAAAAAAAAAAAAGTTGGTTTGAACCTGGCTTTTTCAGAAGCTCCTTTTTTCCTGCTGGCTTTAGCTAATCGAGCTTATAGGCAATTATGGTGGCTCAGAAAAATATTCTCTCTCCTCTTGCTCATTTTGTCTCACCCTTCACTCTCTCCTCTGTTTTAGGCTTCACGCATCTCCTTTCTCTAAGCTCGTCTCCTTTGTCTTGGGTGTGTAGGGGGAAACAATTTGAATTAATTTCAATTTTTATATTAAATTAATTTAAATTCATTGTATCATGTAAATTTATTTTTTTATCATATTTCACTTTATATTTAAAATATTTTTTATAATTTTTCTAAAGTTTTAAAATTTAATTCATTCATTAAATTTCACTTCTTCATATTAAATTAATTTAAATTCATTATATTATGTAATTTATTTTTTTAAATCATGTTTCATTATTTATTAAAACTCATACCTATTTGGTAATTTTACAAACAAACTTACTTTTACTCAATCATAATCTAAACAACCTTTTACCAATCTTACTTTTACAAACTAACTTTTTTAAATTCCAATTCAAACACAATTCACCTTATTCAATTTAACTTTTACCCAATCTTACTTTTGTAAAAGTCAGATTGAAAATAAACTACTTTTTCCACTGCTAATCCAAATGGATCCTAAGTAATGAAAAAATAAGTTCAGATATAAAATAGCCTGACTTATATATTTATTTATAATCTAGTGATACATATGAATATTTTAGAGAGAGAACATATAACATATGATATGATTAGATAATTTATTTAGCTTTTATAATCTCTTCAAATTAGTCTATTGGGTCTTATATTAAGTACCTGAGACAGTATATTACATGTACATAATTTGATAAATTTAAGACATATAATAAATAAAAAATGATTAAATTATTACCCACAAAAAAAATCATATTATTGGATCAAGATAGAACCTACTTAAATACCCTTATCATTATTTTCATCTTCATTCTTTCACTCTCCATGTTAGAAACGGAGAGAGCTAATATTTCTAGCGTTGTACCGTATTGAGCTTTTCCCCCCTAAGTTAGTTGGGTCAAAAATCCACCCAAACAACCTTTAATCTGCAAATGAACCTTGAATTACCTGCGTTTCACAGAGTCCCAAGCACTTTACCTTGATGAATCGGCAATCCAAACACACTGTAAATCGTTATCATTATCACAATTAAAATTATCCCAAAACATTGTTGTGAATTAGAAATAAACATTGCTCAAATTTCATTAGGATGTTCTAACTGAGAGCAACCAGCTGAGTGATAACCTTGATAGTCTTTGTAGTAGTTCTGAGTTAGCAGTGAAAAACCATACCTGTTAAGTAGCTATAGATGAATTATGTGTATTATAACTGATTATACAAGGAAAATCTCTTAAAATCCAGGATACCTCTCTGTGTTTTGGATTTGGACAGCAAGCATAGAGCCTGGTTAACAGCTGGTGATCGGATTCTAGACCTAGTGCCTTCAAAGCACATCTTGTGCCACTAGACCCAATAGTCTTCGGAAAACCCCAGGATATCTTTACTGTATTCATTTCTCTACTCTTACTTATTTACTTTCAATACTAATTGTCTTGCTATATATAGTTGCTCAAACACACTTTTACGAGATGTAACGGAGTAAGGTGGAGCATGGGTAATAAGGGTTACTGATCATGAACTAATCATATAAGAAAAGAAAAGTTAGAAAATACTCCTCTTGTCCTTAATATATGATCTAATTGTTGAGTTAATCTTAACCCTAAATATAAGATCTATTTTTCATATTTATTAATTTTTTTCTAAATTATCTCTATTAATACGCTCTCAACTATAATCAAATAGCTAGTGGGATGAAGGATATTAAAAAAATGATTATGGTATTTTACAAAAA